ACATGGATGTATTCCCTTTGTTAATTAATAATTAAATTTTAAAATAGGAAATTTTTTCCATCCTGTGCTAACAATAAAAGCCCATAATAATTTATCGTAGTTTTTATTACAAAGAGATTTGTCCGCGACTTATGGTTAAGTGTACCTTTTGTAACTTCATAAAATGACGATAAAAATATTGATTCTATAGTGGTCAACACTACATTTAGTTCAACAAAAACAAATGAGCTAAAATAATAAAAAAAGGTATAATTTGAAAAAAACCTGTACTGCTATCGAGCGGTTTTTACATCAAAATGAGAAACAAATAATACTTAAACCTAACGGTTCTTCCATCTCTCCATATGTCTATCTATATACAATAAGAGGCTAATATTATTAATAGCATACTCTAATGACGTCGGCAACTGTACAACGTAACAGTGATAACCTTAATTATCGTAAAGTTCACTTCAAGTAAGAATGCATTTTCTCTAACAGTTTCTCGTCTTACCTTTAACCGTTTTTCGCTGGTGTATCTGTTAATATTAACCGTTTCCAATTCAGGAAATCTGGTTGCACAAAAAAAAACAAAAAAACATTTTCATGTACAATTATCACGAATTTCTTTTTGATTTGTATACTTCTGCTGGAATTTTAAACTTACAATATTACCAAGCTTGTCCTTATTGATGGTTTTGGTGATATAAGCGATAATCAATTTGATTGTATCAAGGTACTCTATTCACACATACGATTGATTATGTAGGTTTTCGTTTTATTCTCTTGACGGCACTAATTTTTGGGGGGGATTAGATAAATGTTATGTTGCCTGCACGGTAAACATCAAAGTTTAACAGCCACCTCTTACTAACTTGTTGAGAACACCTGCCAGATGTAAACAAGCAATAACAATATTAAACAAATAGAATTTTATGTAACAGTACTATTATGGCAATGGTTATCATCAACAGTTGTCAAAGCTACAATGTTTATATATATATAATACTTCTTTCTAAATTTTTATGACAAATGAGTAAAATAAAGATATCAAAATTGTTTGTCGGTTTACATATATATATAGGACAATAAGCATAGCATCACTGAACTACATATACAAGTTCTGAGAAAGACAGGTGGCCGACACGTCCAGATGTATAATCATTCAGAAGGGGAGTGGTCTTTTTGAAACAGCCAAAGCGATGTATTTGTTGTAGAAATGCAAAACAAAAACAGAGTCAGCAACACTCTATACCATTTGTTTTATAATTTTTCTCCCAAAAACTCTTTGGAAATTAGTAGCGACTAGGTTTAGTTCACTGTTTTATATGTGGTTGGAACTTACCTGCCCAACATCTCTGGCGGTATCGAACCTTCCTCCTCCTGACTAACTTGGTGGGGCTATCGTCCTTGGTTCGACTGTTCTTGTTTGCACTAGATGTGGGAGGGCTGTTAAAGTGAGAGTTGACGTGCCTTTCCAAGGCATTCTGGGAAGTGAACCTCTGTCTGCAGCCGTCCACGATACACTTGAAAGGTTTGTTTCCTCCGTGAGTTAGCATGTGTCGCTGCAGCCAGCTCAGCGAGCACGACGGCCGGTTGTACACCTGGAAGAAGGAGTCTTCCTATATCGTACTGTAGTAAACAAGTTATAAAGAAGAGCAAAATGACAGGAATGTATCTAACGCGGACGGTGTGGTCTTTTCATGTACAACAAGGGAGAAAAAAAACATCTTAAAACACAAAATATGCATCGTTTCGAGACTATTTTCTGCAGACATCACGTTCCTTAGTGCAGTGAACATTTTCTACAAAACATCCATCACGTTTATGTTCAAAAACTCAGAATTGATAATCGACAAGTTTTGAATTCTTTCACATTGTTTAAAAGCTGTAGTTTTATAAAAATATATAAAGTAAATACATTTCACTATATAATCACTTATTTCATGTATATCCCTGTTTACATATAATATACATACACTTACTGGTTAAATAATTCAATTTAATATTATTTCTCGCTTTTCTAAACAAGGTATTGATTTCCTGAAACCATTTGGTGTCTTAACGATGACCTACATAATACACTGTCGAAATCTCAAAGATCGATCAGCCCCATTACAAGCCTAGGAAACATCTCCAAGCAAGTTCATAGTCTACGAACCCTGATAAAAACGGTCACATTTTTATTGTGTTACATACCTATTAATATCTAGGTGTTTTTCGTGTACATCTTTTGTACACCTCAGGTAAATGTTTTTGATAGTTTACACCTAAATATTCACTATTAACTTTAAGGTTTAAAATTTAGATGCATATCTCTAGATTAATTTGTCAAGAAGAAGAATTAGTCATCAGTAGAATGGCTGAACCGTAAGCCTTTTGTTTGTTTTCGTTTTTGTGTGTGTTGACGATTGTAAATTTTCTGGTTTTCCACAGAAATAAAATGTCTATCTTTATGAAATGTTGCCCTTAATTTTTTAATCCCAAAGTTGATAAGTTTTTGTTTTTCCACACACCCAAGGGAAACGACCTGTGAAGTTTGACTGAAATCTACTGTCTAGTTTGTTTGTTTTGAATTTCGTGCAAAGCTACACGAGGGTTATCTGCGCTAGCCGTCCCTAAT